GGGCCCTGCCCACCCTTCTGGATCTGCTGTCCTCACCTCAGCCCCCTCACCTGTGTGCTTGGCAGCCCTAAGGCAGGCCGTGGCTCTTGGCCAAACAGGACCAGGGCTATGGGGATGGTACATAAAGCCACACAGCATGGCATGTTTTCCTAGAGCAAAAAGTTAGGGAAAACTGTTATTTTTATATAAAAACAAACCCAGATACATGATGGAGTATTGACTCTATAAGGCTCTTGGGGCTGGAGTTTGCCCCAGACTTCCTAAGAGGCGTCGGGCGCTTGGGCCATCGGGGTGCTGGGAGATGGCAATCTGGGGGTGCCGGTGAATGGTGGCTTTCAGAGGTCCCCTCTGCCAGGGGTTGGGGAGCTGGCAGCTGCCCCAGGCTCAGCTCTCTCTGTGGGCCTGGGCCCTCCCTTCCTGTTCTTTGCCCACTCACCAGCAACCTCCGGCAGTCACGTTGGGCTCCCCTCACTGGACTCCTCTGCACAGTGGGTCTGCACAGTGGGACCGGGGCCTGTCCAGCAGACCAGGGCTCAGGGTGGAAGGCCATGTCCAAGGCGCTCCCTGAGCACAGGAAGGGGGAGCCAGCATGGCCCAGACGTGCACTGGCCTCCTCCTGCAGCCTCCTTGTTTTTTTTTTTATTTTATTTTATTTATTTATTTGACAGAGATCACAAGTAGGCAGAGAGGCAGGCAGAGAGAGAGGAAGGGAAGCAGGCTCCCCGCTGAGCAGAGAGCCCGATGCGGGGCTCGATCCCAGGACACTGGGATCATGACCCGAGCCGAAGGCAGAGGCCCCAACCCACTGAGCCACCCAGGCGCCCCCCGCAGCCTCCTTGTTGAAGGGTCTCCTAGGACCACCCACTGGTCCCACACTTGGCATCCGGCTTGTGGGATGCAGCCTGACTGCACTCAGGGGCCCCCAAGGGGGAACACAGGCTTTCTCGCACGCCTGCTTGGGACCAGGTGCCTGCTTGGCATCAGCAGTTTAAAGAAAATGAAATGCGAAGCTAGGATTTCTCTGAGGGCCTTTCTGGAGGGGGAGCTGGAGTCCCTTGACCCCACCCCCATCTGCTGCAGGATCGCCCCTCCATTTGTCAGAGCTGCCATTGTCCTGGGCTGGGTTCTCTTCAGGTCAAGGGGCACACGTCCTGGAGGTCTTATCCAGTCCTTTCCCAGGGACACCTGCCCACCCCACCATGCGACTCCTGCCCCCACTTCTCTGGTCAGGAAAACCCTGGTGGGGTGGAAGGATCCTGCCTTTGCTGGGAGTCATGGCTATATGACTTTGCGGGAAGTTATTCAACATCTCTGAGTGCTAGTATGACCTAGGGTGATGGAAGGTGAAAGGGGATGCTGTGTGGAAAGTTCTTTGCATAGGGCTTGGCAACAGGGTTCAGAAATTTAAAAAAAATGCACGCGTACAGTCCAGCACCCCGGGGCCCCACCTGCTCTCACCTGGGATAAGCCGGCGGCTGTCTCTGACCCAGTTTGTTTCTTGAGAGGTACTTCCTGCCTTGAAAGCAAACTCTGTATGTCTAGAGCAGACCTCACATTCAGGGTCCCTGCCGGGCTGTTCCCTCTGCTGGGACCCCCTTTCTGTGGCCACCTATGGAAACGCTGCTGACTCCGGGTGCCATGTGAGCCCTGGGTTGGCATTCCTTCCACCTCCTAAGCAGCCAGGGCGGTTCCTGCAGTTGCCCTGATTGCTCATGCACTTAGGGGACAGTCAACACCCCGTACTTGGGGACAGCACCTCCCTGCCTTAGGGAATGCTGAGCCTGGGACGCCACCTAGGGGTGTCCGGAGTACCTGCACCGTTGTGGGGCAGGCCCCGCTCCGCGCTGCCCCTAGTGGTGGCCTCGGGGAGCGCGCGCTCCCTCTCCAAATCAGGGGTGGCCTAGTGACTTGCTCAGAGGACGGTTGTGGAAGCCGCCTGGCCTCAAGTAGCCAACCGATCTGGATCTCCCCTTACTGCCTAAAATCCACTGGTGGGACGTCTTGGCCCTTGTCCCACTCTGTCCCGCATGCGCACAGGTCATCACCTCTGTCCCGCATGTGCGTAGGTCATCACCCCTCTCCTGAGCTGAGCTCCCCTTCTCCATCAGGAGTTCTCTTCCAGAGTCCCGAAACAAAAAAATCTGGGCAGTGTGGGCCAGCTTTATAAAAGGAGGGAAGGAAGGGCCTTGGGGTAGCCTCCAAGAAACCCGGGATCCCTTCCTGGTGGTCTTGAGCGCAGAGGAAAAGCAGAAAGGCTGCGGGCAGCCGGGACTTGCTGATTTGTTCCTTCCATCAACCAGCACGGACGGAGTCTCCCGTGGGCATCCCGAGCAGGTGGTGGGAAAGCAGATTCACAAGAGCCAGCCCTGCCTGTAATGTTGAGTGGCTGGTCTGGGTTATGAAGGAATTCTTACACACACACACACACACACACACACACACACACACACACTGCCCCGGCACGTCTGGGAGTGCCTGGCTGCCTCTTCCGCTTGGCCCTTTCCAAGCTCTTAGGACCTGTCCCTAATTCTCCTGGACACTTGATCTTGAACCGGGTGATTTGGCTTGGGCTAGTATGAAAAGAAACGTCAAATGCAGCAAAGAAAAACCTGGAGTTCTAGACCTGGGCCATGCCTTCCCCTCGGGCCTCAGTTTCTTCCTTAGAGGTTGTAGGCACTCCCTGGGACCCACAGCTTATCGTTTCCAGGCCAGGCATCAGACCAGGGTCTCTTCGAGAAGCTGCATCCCATCCAAAGGGGCACATCTCTCCAGGGACAGAGCAGCTGGGACAGCAAAGGAGTCCTGATTGGCGTAAGGCACTGTCTCCGGAGCAGTGGTTGGCGACTTCCAAGGGCAGCGGGAGTCCAGGGCTGCCAGCCACCTCCACCCTGCCCCTCACTAAAGGCCTCCTCGCTCCTCCCAAAGGACCAAGAGGGTTCCTGAGTGTCCGACCAGATGCCTCAGCAACTTGCCAGGTCCGCTGGGGGGCTCCAGGTCCACACACAGCCCAGGCCACTCTGTTAACCCTTCCTCCGGGCCCCAGGGCCCTGCACATGTTCGGGCCACCCACCATGCTGAGCGGACTCTCAGCTCCCCAAGGCCTCCCTCCGCCGTCTCAGCCCCTCTGGCCAGCTGCTGGGCCTCTTGGGAGTGGTCTGACATTTGACAGGATGGTGTCAGGGGACATCTTGTTCTGGGAAACAGCCCTTCCTTTGAGAGAGTGAAGGAGATGGGCTGGTGGAGTGTCGGGTGAGGAGCAGGGATCTGGCTGCCACCACCGCATGGCCTCCAGCCAGCCCTTTCCCTTCTGGTCCCAGCCTCCCCCGAGAATGGAAGCTTCGGGTCTTGTGATCACTCAGGACCTTACAAGTCAGGGACTCATGACTTTGGGGGGAGGTGCAGGGGTGGGGAAACCCATGATTCCGTGTTGGGCAAGATCCTCCATGGAGTATGTGGACAGAAGGGATTCAGCAGAGAGCAGGTACAGGTGTTCCCAGCTTCTTGCCACCGGCATAATAATATTTGAGCGCAAAGACGGCGTGGTGGGAAAAAGCCATAGCAAAGATCCCAGTGCCCCCTGACCTGAGCCCATATTTAGCTGGTGCCTTCAGAGCCACAGTGTCCACCTAGACCATCAGTCCTCCCTGCCACCCTCCCCATCCCTGGGAGCCTGTACTGTCCCATCCTGGGGGACAGGGTACCATGCCCAGCCCAGGCAGGAGGCAGAACACAGGCACAGGTAAGAAGGATGGAAGGTATGTACCTCATGGTCTCTCAGCCTCAAAGTCCTCTCTACTGGAAGGGCCAGGCCGAGGGCTCACAGGCGGGGAGAGGGACAGCCTCACTCTAGCCTGGTGCCTTTGGTGAATCAATGGCGGGACCCGCCCAGAGAGCCAGGCCAGAGGACTCACCCAAGGCCACTCAGTGGGTCTCTGTCTCCTGGCTCAGGGCTCTTTCTGCAACCCTGGATCCCACTGCCGAGTCCCTGGACCCACTGGGGAACTACCTCCACCCTACCCAGGACAGCTGGCTGTCCCTGTGCACAATACTGGGGTCACAGGGAAAACATGAAGGCCACAAGGGTCTACTCTGGGACCCTCTGCAGCCCCGCTGGGAGGAGAGGCAAGGCCGGGCGCTGGCTATGCTGAACCCTTCCCGGACACACCTAGCTTGACCTGCCGGCTGAGCCAACCCAGAGGCAGAGGAGCAGAGCAGGATTCAGGCTACTGGTACAGCAGGAGGCTCCTGGCACAGCCCTCCGGACTTCCCAGGCTTGATGGTAGGACAGACCCAGGACTCTGTCTGCCGCTGCCTGTGAGCTGGTGGGCTGGGCTGAGATGGCATGGGTGTCTCCCCAGGGTGTGGGGACCACAAGAGGGAAGCGTAGGTCTCCAGGGCTTTCCAAACTCCCTTATGAGATTCTCTTTGCTCCCCAGCACTCTGTCCACTGACCAGAAAATGGGGGAACTGGAGTCTGGCAACAGGCCAGTCAGCTGGTGAGGTTGTGAGCAGACAGCTGCTCTCAGGAGGAACTGGGGACAGAGATGCGGAATGGGGAGGTCAGGAAGGTGGCCTGGGCCAGCTCCTCCTTGCTGCCCTCCAGAGACCTTCCAGGAAACCTCCTTTGGCTCCAGTGGCCACATCTGGAGTTGGGTTGGTGTGTACGCACTTCAGTGGAAGGGGAGAAAATTCTATCCTGAGGGGAGGCAGCAGGGGATGGGGGTAGGGCCCCCGCGGTTGGGGAAGGGACAGCGAAAAGCCTGTCTCTACCAGCATGAGTCTTCTCCCTGGTCCCCTGGCTACAAAGCCCCTTCCTCCATCCTGACAGCCCGCCTAGCATTAACGTTCAGTTAGTGAGAATAAAATTACTTTTATTTCCAAAAAATGTAGGGGTGGGGGAGCGACATGGTAAAAATTAACATCGGTTCCCTATGGATCCATTCTGTGTCCGGGAAGGACAGCTCTTGGGGCCTGTGTTCTCCCCTGGAGGGCCTCGGGTGCCCATGTTGCCATGGCAACCTGCAGGTCCGTCACACAAGATGCATCTCCCCCTGGCGGGGGAGCTGGGGGACTACAGCTCTCTCCCATAGGCGCCCCCCCTCTGAGCTTGTTCTGCTCCCCTCCCCTGAAGCTAAATATTGGTTAGTGGGTTAGATTTCCGAATGCAGCAGCCCTGAGTCCCTCCCTCCCGCTCACTCCCCATCCCCTCGGCTGCCTGGCTTCCGGCCCCAAACTCCTGGTTGCAGTTTTCACTTGACCTTCATCAGGTCTCCCTCCCAAAGCCCCAGATCCTTAGAGTCACGTCCACCGGGATTGCACCCCCCCCGGGCCCCTACTGCCTTCTCGACAGCAGCGGACCCAGCAGCCCCCACAGTTGGGGTCCCTGTGGCCTCCGTGAGTGAGCCGGGCTCAGCCCACCACAGGGACCTAAAGAGGCAGCTGGTAGAAGGTTGTGACAAGGCCCAGCCCTGTTGTCGCAGCTCTCCCCAGCCCTGTCAGAATGTCTCTGTAACAAAAGGTTAAAAAGCCAGAGGACAGACGAGAGCAGAGGACAGTGTGAGCACGTCCCCACTAGCAGCCCCCGCGTGGAGCTGGGCTGTGTGAGGCACCCTCCGGCAGCTTGAAGGGCTCAAGGCCACTTGGCCAAGCAGCTAGAGACTGGTGGGCACTGCCTGGCAGGTAACAGAGCACCTCGGAGAAAGGTCCAATCGCCCAGCCCGGACAAACAGCTGAAGGGGATGTTGGGGGCTGAGGGGGTAGGGCTGAGCCAACAGGCCGGCTGATCCTCTGATCTGGCCAAGCCCACCTTTAGGGTGGCCCCCTTGGCCCCCGGGGCCCAGGCTGTGGAGCTGGGGAGACGTGGCAGGTGGTGGGATGGAACAGCACAAGCCCCGGGTCAAAGGGTTCCTGCGGGACGAGGACACTTGCCTGGGCCCCAAGGTCTGAGCTGGCTGTGCTGCAGGCAAAGGGAGCCGGGATCAGGGTTAGGACCCTGGGCTTCTGAAGAGAAGGGGTGGCAGCAGGGAGGCCCGGGTCCCAGTGCGGGCCACGAGGGAGCCGGGGGCACCAGGCGCACACACCCCCTAACACCAGTGATGGGGACGCTGACAGTGGGGCCAGGCCTACAGGCCAGGGAGCCGTGGTGCCCAACTAGGACCCCCACCCGCCACGGACCTCAGAAGTATCTGAGGGAGACAAGGAGGTGTAAGGCCTAGAGGCCAGGCAGCAAGACAGGGGTGTTACAGGCCGTATCTGTGGACCTCTGGCCTGGCAGAAGTTTGGGGACAGAAGTTGGGGGCCGGGACAGACCACCTCTCTTGGCTCCTGGGGGTGGGAGGGAGCAGGTGAAGGGCCATCTGATACAGGACAGCCCCATGAGGGAGGGTGTCGGAGACAGAAGCTCAGGGAAAGCGGAACAAAACAGGAGATAGACCAAAAACGGGATTCCCGAACCAGCATGTACCCCAGCCTTGTGGAACCCCTCAGAACAAAAGCCCCCCTCCCTGTGGCCAGCGCTCCCACCTGCTCCCCCTTCCCCGTGGGCAGCCCCAGCGCTGCTGCTTCATTTGTGGAGGTAGGCGTCCAGCCACAGCTCCCCGGACTTCTTCAGGGACCTGGGAAGAGGAGGGGACCATCAGGGCCCAGGAGGGGGGCGCTGGGGAGGACACACTGGGGAGTGGGCGGCGCTTCTTGGCTCTCAGAGGGACTACAGGGTTGTCTGCTCAGGGCTCCCTGGGGGACAGCCTGAGGGAGGGCCAAGGGAGGGTCCCATCCAGCCCAGAGCTGAAGCCGGGTCCTTCCTAGTAAGGGAGAGGCCCTGGTGGGGACACTTGGGCCCCAGGGGCTTGCGCCCTCTGGTGGCCATCAGTCTCACCGTGGCCAGTCCCAGCTGCACACCTCTCCGTCTCTGCCCTGAGCCCCAGGGACTTCCAGGGGCTCCAGCAGCCGCAGACGCTCCCCCCCCCCTTACCTGATGATGTCCTGCAGGGCCCTCAGCAGCGGCTTCTCCTGGTACTTGATGCCATGCTTGGCGCACAGAGACTTCACCAGCGGTGCGACCTTGTGGAAGTTGTGCCGGGGCATGGTGGGGAAGAGGCTGGGGACAGCGGGGACAGGGTGAGGATGCCCCCGCCTCCCACTCACAGCCCGCACAGACAGCAGCCGTCAGGGTCGGGGAGACCACGTCTGCGGCTCTCCTTGTGTGTGTCCCCCCCCCGAGGCTGGCGCACAGGGGGTGGGGAAGAGCCGTGCCTCAGTTTCCTTGTCAATGAAGGGATCGGTCCTCCTGCCCTGCTAGGCTCGAAGGTTCAAGAGACCAGTGGTGTGAGCTCTCTATGGTTACAAAGCTGGGGCCGCATGGAAGGGGTGGCTGTCCCTCGGGCCGGTGAGCCCCTCCCCTGACCTCAGTGGGTGGGCTGCAGAACCAGGCTCCAGGCCTGACGCTTGGGAGGCCTGGCCACGGTGGGGGGGGAGGTAGCCCCCATGTGCTGCCCACGCCCAGACAGGGCTGGTGACCTCCTCCCTCTTCAGGGCCACCCACCTTCCCAGCCTGCCCGCCCGCCCGTGCTCACTGGTGCTCGATCTGGAAGTTGAGGTGCCCGCTGAACCAGTCATTGAAAAAGGACTGCTCCACGTTGCAGGTGGCTGCCAGCTGCGGAGGGGAGGGGTGAGACCCCAGGAGCAGATGGGAGAATGAGGGCTCCATCTCTTTCCCGGGAGGCCCGACCCCTCCCTGTCATCCTGCGTGGCCTGGAGACCTTGGCCCACCCAGATTCCCCGCTGGTCCCTCCCCGTGGAAGGTTATAGGCAGGAAAGCCCAGCGTGGCCCTGGGCCCACTGAGCAGCCAAGGGCTGGAGGCAGGGAGACAGACCCACAGGCTCCACGGGGCCCCAGTGTCCAGCTCCGGCTGCCCTTACCTGGTTGCTGAACCAGTCACGGTAGGGCTCGTGGTCAATCTCCATGACGATGTGGTTCATCTGTGTGACCCACACAAACCAGTGGCTTTCCAGGAACCTGGAAGACAGCACAGCTCAGAGAGGGAGCCACGGGAGTGGCCACGGAGTCCGGCCAGGTGGGAACAGACCTTCTCCCCAAACCCCAGCAGCCCGGCAGGTGCACCAAGAGGCCAGGTCGGGAGGCCCAGGGCAGGAATCGGGGAGCTTGGAGCCCTCCCACAGGGGCCCCCCTGTCAAAGCCCTGTCAAGGCCAAGTAGCAGGTACCTGATGAAGTTGAGGAAAATGACAGCCCCCAGGATGCCGTAGAAAGGGATGTAGGTGATAAAGAACCGAGCGTAGTAGCTCATGGCCCAGGCCAAGTCCTGCAGAGAGAACGGGATTTGATCTGGGGCCGCTACCCACTCTGGCTCTGCGTCCTGACCACCGATGTGCACACAGCCCCTCACATGCCCCTCAAGGCAAACGTGTCCAAGAACCCCCAGCGGGCCTCGAGGAAGCTGGGCACCAGGTCCACGGAGCATGTGATGCTTGCTTGCACAGGGTCGGCGACCGTCTTTGCTTCTGGGGAAATGCTGAGTGTCTGAGCAGCAGGAGGGCGCTGGGGCTTTGCTTCAGGGAAACAGGGCAGGGAACAGCCCTTTCATGGTCCCAGGGATTCTGAAGGTACATAGACCGCCCCGCCCCCACCAAAACTGCCCTTTGCTGTCTTCTAACCCATCAACACCTGGGAATCTCCTTAGCAGGGCAAAGGCCAGCGCCACCGCCCAGCCTCTCCATAAGGGCCCCCCAGCCATCTCTGACATGCTGGTCCCCCTCCCATGCCCAGTTCTCCTCCTGTCCCCTCTCTCTTCCTGCCCCTCTCTGGGGTGGCCATGGGGATCCTGAACTTACAGGTCTTCCCTCACCTGGGTGAATGCTTCCCTCAGCAGCCCTGCCACCCGCCCCTCCACAGCAACCCCACAGACAGGCGCTCTGAGGAGGGGGTCCCTATCTCCTCTCTGCGTCCCAAGTCTGAGTGCCTCCACTGGGCCATAGCCAGAGTCTCCCATGGGTCTCCCGCTCGCTCTCGGCTACCATGGCAACCAGAGCCTCCTTCTTAGCCCCAAGCAGAACCCGCCCTCTCTTGAGCCACCCTGACCCAGCTTATTTCTGCCTCAGGGCCTTTGCATGGTTTCCTCTCCCCCATCACTTTTCCTCCCTAGAGTCCCAGCAGGGTAGTGATCCGAGCACAGGCCCTGGGTCGGGCTGCCCATGTGAGTACTCAGCTGGGCCTCTGTGCCTAACGTGGACCGTGACACTGCCATCCTCAAAGCCCCCACCCACCTCCTTCCCCACTAGAGGATACTGGATGAAATCCCACCCCCACATGCCAGCCCATGCACCCCTACGTGGACAGCCTCTGGACCCACGTGCACCCGGCTTCACTTCCACCTGGGCCTCCTGTCTCCCCCCGCCCCCCTTCTGCTTGACAAACTCATCCTCAAGTCTATGTGCAGTCAAGCTCCACGAATCCCGTGAATGCCTCCTCTCTATCCGCGGGCAGAGCTGGGTGCTAGGAGTCAAAGCAGCTCCTTCGGGAGCCTGGTGTCTGGAAGGACAGGCTTATACAGAGATCCCTTCGATATCATACGGAAGGGGACAGCAGCAAGGGGAGCACGTGAGTGGTCCTGATGTGATGTTCGGATTTAGGAAAGGCCCTTGTTAGGAGGTGGTGCCTGAGCTGGGCTGGGCTACGTCAGAGGTCAAGAACCGTGCGATGCATTTGCAGAATGACGGTATGGGCTGGGCTACGTCAGAGGTCAAGAACCGTGCGATGCATTTGCAGAATGACGGTATGGAAAAAAGCCCAGATAGGCAAGACTGCGGTGCGATGAGTGGAGGCAAACGGGCAGGGACTGGGTATACGTGCAGATCCCGTGTCCCATGTGCTCGCCGGGGGTGCGGGATTTGGCCAGACCGTGTCTGCCTCAGGATGCTGACCTCTACCTCTCGGCCAACGGAAAACCGCCGCGAGATTTACACGCCGGAAGAATGCAGTCACGTTCAAATCTTAAAATAGAGCTCTGCCAACTGGAGATGGAGGGATTCGGTTATTTCGGTAGCCCAGCCCCGAAATGATGGAGACCGAGAGCAGGGCCCACAGCCCCGAGGAGGTGATAGAGATTCCAGAACGATCTAGGAGGCCGGGGCAGTTGCATTTGGGGACAGCTTAGTCGTGAGGAATCCATGCTGGTCCCCTCATGGGTGCTATCAGCTGAGAAGGTGGTCCAGGGGAAGGGAGAGTCTGGAGGGTTGGCAGTAGGCCCCGGGGCATGGCCTGGGATCCAGGGAGGGCTCTCTAAGGGGGTGGGAGAAGCAAGTGTGGCAGGTTTGCTCCTACTGTCCATCACATTCCCCTTCGTTTCATTTGTGTATGCACCTAGTGCGGCAGAAGGAACTGTATAACCACAGGGGAAGATGCTTATTTCTTCTCGTGCAGAGCGACCCATGACCACGGGACCACGGGCTGCAGGGTTAGGTGTGAAGCAGATATGGGGGAACAGAGAGGTGGAGGAGAACCAGCAGAGGTGGGATCTGGAAGCTGACAGGGAGGGTTTCAGGAGAGAGAGGTCCGTGGTGTCAGACGCAGAGACCCTCCAGGGAGGAAGGCTGGGAAGTATCTCTAGGATGTGGCCACCACTGCCAGGACGGTAAACACCTCCGTCCTTGAGGCTCTCAGAGTGCATCAACCCTCCGTCCTCCCCATACCTGGCATCTGGGCCTGGAACAGCCCTCACCTTTGGGGGCTGTGCCATGCTTGACACCATACTCAGCAGGACCCCCGGCTAGGTGTCCCCCAGATGCCCGATTGCCAGGAGTGCTCGATCTCCCCTGTGTTGTGACCATCAAACAGGTGTTGCCGGCTGGCCCAGGAGAGTTGCTCCCATTGAGGACTATGGCCCCAAGCCAGGGCTGCACTTGGCACCTAAGTTCTCTGTTACCGAAAATCAGAAAAGCCCGGGGGCGCCTGGGTGGCTCAGTCATTAAGCCTTCAGCTCAGGTCAGGATCCCAGGGTCTTGGGATCGAGCCCCACATAGGGCTCCCTGCTCAGCAGGGAGCCTGCTTCTCCCTCTCCCACTCTCCCTGCTTATGATCCCTGTCTTGCTGTCTCTCTCTCTCTGTCAAATAAGTAAATAAAATCTTAAAACAAACAAACAAACAAAAACGAACGAAAAGCCCAGCCCCGGACCCACCTGTGCCCCACGCAGTCACGGACTCCTGGGGTGGTGGCACCGGACCTTATCTGCCCTGAATCCCCAGCCCCACACACTGACTGCAGTCTGCTGTTCTGGAGAAGGAGCCCAAGGCTGGAGGCTCGTCCCTCCCACACAGCTGGAGACCTGCTCCCTAGCAGGGGCAAAGGCAGGGCTGCCCTGTCTCCCCACCACCGAGTTGGGGCCCTATCAAATTTCCCTGGGTCTGCCATCCGATCCCAGGCAGGCACACAGTCTTCTCTCCTTCCCTGCGCTGTCCTTATTGAGTGCTTTGTCCCTTGGGGAATAAGCACAGCTTTAGAAAAAAAAAAAAAATAGTATATATTCAGGCAGGAGTCACCTGCCACAAAAGCTGATGGAAATCCGCCCAGCAGCACCACGAAACCCCACCCGGCCGGGCTCGAGCTCCTCTTCAGCTGTGTGGCTCCTTCCAGGGCCCGGGGAGCCCCATGGGAACAGCAGTTACCTTAGGTGAGAGATCTGGCTTCAAATTCCCATGGCACAGCTGACACAGAAACTCCGTCCCTGCGGCCCGTGTCATTGTGCTCTTAAGCCAGGGTCAAATGTCATAACGTGGGTGGCCATGCTGGGACACAGGAAGTACAGAAGAAATGCTCACTTCTGGAAAAATATCGTGTCCTAGAAGTGGGTGGTACAGGTTCTACCAATACAGGGCTGGTGGAGACTTCCAGAACACCAGCAGAATCACCAGGTATGGCCCCTTTGCCCACAGTTCCAACGAGAAAGGACAAAGCAAAGTACTTGGAAGCCCTGCTAGACGCTCCAGAAATACGAGGGAGGTTGGTGTTATTCGAGAGAGGTTGGTGGCTGAAGTGGGGGACACTCTTTCTCTAGGTTCTAGCGCCCGACCCTGGTGTCACCCTGGGTAAGTCCCAAGCTCTCAGAGTCTCAATATTTTCATTGATGAAACTGGATTTAAAAAAAAAAAAAAAAGACCCGCAATACCTGGTGGGCCCCCTCCCCTGGGTGTCCAGGACAGGGAGGCCCTGTCCCTGTCCCCACAAAATCCAGTCTCCCACAAGCAGGCTCCGCCCATGGCTGACTGCTCCATCCAGGTCATTCCGTCCACCTTTTAGGCCGAATCCCGCCCGTGCACACATAATGCCGAGGGCAGGGATGTGCCCCTGGCATTCGCTCTCTGGACACAGAATCTGGTGACTCCAAGCCTGGTGTTACAGGCTGGATTGTGTCTCCTAAAATGCACATGTTGAAGCCCTAATCCCAAGGCCTCGAGTGACCTAATTTGGAGACAGGGTCATGGCCGATGTAATTCACTAAGCTGTAGCCCTAGTCCACTGTGAGCGGCGTTCTTAAGAAAAGGGACGCGGGGGCCACCTGGGTGGCTCAGTGGGTTAAGCCGCTGCCTTCGGCTCAGGTCATCATCTCAGGGTCCTGGGATCGAGTCCCGCATCGGGCTCTCTGCTCAGCAGGGAGCCTGCTTCTCTCTCTCTCTCTCTCTCTCTGCCTGCCTCTCCATCTACTTGTGATCTCTCTCTGTCAAATAAATAAATAAAATCTTTAAAAAAAAAAAAAAGGGACGCGGGACGCAGACACAGAGGCTCACGGGGACGGTGACGCCAAGACACAGGCCGAAGACCCAACCGCCCAGCAGCCGAGGACCCTAGCCTGGCCCTGGTCCTCCCTAACCCCCCTCAGAAGGACCCGTGCCGACAGCACGTCGTCTGGGACTTCCGGCCTCCAGAGTTGTGAGCGCTGTGGTGGGACAGGACGGCCTTGGTGGGCAGCTTGAGCAAACAAACCACCTGTCAGCCCAGCCACTGCCCAGCTGCTCTCCCTTGAGCACACGGAGCGCGGTGGTCCCGGCCCATGGGCTCTCGGGGCTGCACGGGACGCGGGTATGTGGGAGGCAAGGGCTGGAGTGGCGGACAGGCAGGCCCAGCTTTCTGAGGGAGCTCAGCAAAGGCCACGGCCCCTCACTGGCCCCATGGTGTGTGGGTAGCGGGGGAACGTGGAGGGCTGTGGCCTCCCTAGCTCCTGGCTGCCCCAGAGCATGTACCCTTACTGAGAGTGACGCAGGGCCCGGGGGCACCATGCCAATCCCCAGGCCCACCTGCCCCTGCCCCCCCACAGCCCAGGCCAGCCGTACCCCCTGACTCACCACCCAGTCGTGGCGTGAGATCATGGTCATGATGATCTGGTACTGGAAGTACACGGGGATGAGCAGCGGCGGCCCGACTGTGGGGAGAGCAGAGGCGCTTACAGACGCCCTGATCTGTCCTGCCCCGCCACGCCAGACCAGTCAGTCGGGGGGAGGCCGGTGAGCACTGAATGGGGGCCCAGCTCTGCATCTCGCAGGCAGAGGCAGCGAACTGGGCCTGAGCAGGGGCTGGGAGCACCCGCCTCCCTCCCCCAACTAGCGCCCCTCCCCCCACCCCTCTCCGCAGGAGGGGCCCTTGAGTGTGGGACCCTGTGCCTCTGGGTCCCATCTACACCACAGGCCAGGAGCAGTTCGCGGGCAGGGGCAGCGCTTTGTGCTCGAACAGGCTTAGGGGCGATTCCTGGGTCTGAAGGGGCGGCAGGTGGTTGGTGGGGAGACAGATGGCCATTCTGGGGTGTGGTTCGAGGGGGCCCCCAACACTCACTCAGGAAGAAGTACTCGTGCTGGTGATTGTAAGGCAGGTATTTGAGTTTCTTCTTGCCGTACTGAGGAAAGAGAAGAGAAGGTGAGCACCAGGTCCCCTCAGGCCCCAGCCGCCGGCCCCCCTGCCAGCCCCAACATGCTTTGCAGTCTCCGCTCCTGTCCTGTCAGTCTGCACCCTGGGCCCCCAGGCTGGGCCGTCCGGCTCTCTGGCTCCCAGCTGCCCTGGCCTGCACTGGCCACCATTTCCTCGGCCCCAGCTCCCGGCCTCCTCCGCCAGCCCACAAGGCTGGGGGCTCAGGGTCAAATCACGGCTCAAAGCCACACGAGAAATGCGCCCAGCTGGGATCTGAGCCCAGGAAAGCTGCCTCAGAGCCCCCATGACAGGCGCTAATAAACAAATGTTTATGTGGCGAAGGTGCAAATGAACAGCTCACACGGGACCCCACCAGGTCCCACCGAGGGAGCTCCTTGGCTCCAGTCTCCAGCCCCTTGAGAGTGAGAGAAGCCCCCGGGGCACGCTGGGGAGCCCCCCAGGGTCGGCAGCAGCCGGGAGAACGCAGATAGGGGCCCGGGGAATTGCTATCAGTCACCGGGCTGCGAGCATCTTTCCCCGCAGGGCCTCCGGCAATTTTCCAAAGCTAATCACTTCTCTCAGGTAGGTAACTCTCAGTCGAGGATGCTGACAGGCTGGGGACCCACCCTGGGTACCCTGATGCCCAGAAGGTCAGAGCGAGGAGGGCCGCGCTGGAGCCTGGGGGTCCTCACTGCCCAAAGCCGCTCAGGCCATGCTGAGCACAGGCTTGTAGGGGATCCCCTGCCCCATGGGGTCCCTGGAGCCCTTGAGTGCTAGGGTCCAGTCCTCTGCAGACCAGCCTACCTCGCTACTTGGGGACTGAGACCGTAAGATGTCGCTCAAAGAGTGGCCCCTGTTCTTGCTTTCGGTGCCAAGTTCTGCCAAGATCACCTGCAAGATCACGGAGCCCCCGCACCCCCACCCCATTTGGCACCCAAATCACTGGTGGTTTAGAGGAGCCGATGAGAACACAGGCATAAGCGCCGGGGGCTGGCCCCTGGGACACGGCCCCTCCCTCGACCTTCCCCAGATCCAGCCCTTTGCGGGGGCTCATTCCTACATATTGTACTCAGGGAGATGGAAGCATGGATGGAGAGACCCCGGCTGTTGGCTAAGACGATGCCCTTATCTGCAGGTGAGAGCAAAGAGGGAAACGACTGTTAAAATCGCAGGGGGAACCCACGACACCTGAAAGGAGGAGCCCTGGCTGGGATGGACCTCTTGGCACCTGCGGCCATGGTGACAGCCCGTCAGGCTGAAGCGCCACTAGAACTGACCCCTTTTGTCCCATGAGGCCTCCTGTGCCTTGGTAGGGGTCTCACTCATCCCCAGAAAGTGTGACCATTGGCACAAGGATGGTCACTAAGGCCGGGCCTGAGGCTGGCCTTGGAAGATTTCTCAGAGGAGGGAGTGGAGGGTCACCCTTCCACCCCCAGCGGCCCATCAGGTGGGGAACACTGTGGTCTGGGGTTCCAGGGAGCACGTGGTCTACAGACCAGGCCCCTGGATCCTGCCCTAACCTCCTCTCAGAAGCCAGGAAACAGACCCGCAGGCCTAGCCTCTGTCTGCAGGCTTCTCGGCCCCAAACAGGAGCCCTTCCTGCCCCAGCTCTGCCCACGGGTCACCCCAGGAGGTGGCCCGAGGCCCCAAGGACCCTCTCGGGTTGGTTAGACTCTTGGGAAGAGAACACTAAGGGCGGCCCAGGCAGGTGGGCAGACCAGAGAGTCCCCGTAGAAGGACTTGGAGGTGCCTAGGGTGCAGGGGTTGGGCAGGGGGTACCAGGGAATTAATCTGAAGTTGTGTTTCCGTAGTAGGCACGCCGTTCCCACTGATTTATGGTGACCCCTAGAGAGCGACAGATCACATACGCTGATGCTCGCCTGGCTGCCCCTGGCCTGTGGGCACACCTGTGTGGCCCCCTCCGTGTTGCAGACGGTCCTGCAGGAGCTGCCGGGTCCCCGGGCCTCTCTGTTGGACCCTGTCGGTTCCCAGGCTCCTGGAGGCAGGGCCTCGGGCCTCAGACACAGTTCAGTACTTGGGCAAAAGGCTTCACATACACGCCCCCTTGCTCTGCCCCGCCATGAGCTGTGGGTCCTCAGGGGTCTGATGGGCACTTCCCAGGGCCACTGGGGGACGGGCCAATGAGGTGGGCGTCACGGTCCTTCAGGGACAGAACAGTGAGCTGCGGTCACAGAGACACACATGGCTGTGTGTGGTGACACACTGGACCGTCACTGCATGTCTGTTTCCTTCTCAGTGACTTCAGGTGTGGCAGCAGACTACAAGGCCACCTGTCGGGGTCTGGCTGGCCCACAGCACCAGTTTGTGGTTAACTTGCTGGCTCGGCTCTCTGCCAACATCTAGCCACATAAGTCATGGGCGTGGGGAGGGGTGAAAGAGGGGTGTAGAACGTACTGAGCTGGGGGTAGGGCTCCCGGCATCTCAAGTCATTGGAAAGCTGGAGTGACCCAACAAGCCCTTTCCCTAGGGTCCAGCAGGTGGTGGCCCTGGGCAGGTTCCTGCCGGACCCAGAAGCCCCGGCTTGGAGCAAGATAGCCTGGGTTTGGGTGGTGCTGCTGCCTTTTCCCACTGGAACCTCCAGCAAGTTAGCTCACATCTCTCGGCCTTAGGCCTTCCATCTCTGAAATGGGCGTGTTGGTAGCCCCTCGTCCATGGTTAATCAAAGGTGACATGACGTCCCAAGTGCCAGGCCTGGCACAGTGCTGGGTGTGCGGACTCAGTCAGAGTCTGCCCTCCTCCCCGCACCTCCTCTGTCTCCCGAGAAAGCTCGGGTGGCAGGGCTGTCCTAGGCGAGACTCAGGGAAGACAGAGCGTGCTTTCACTTGGACAAGGTGGCTTTTCGCGGTCGAGACTGATGGCTCCCTTTGACGCATTCTCAAGCAGAGGCTCACAGAGGATACAAACTGGGGCCAAGGGAGGGGGCACCCTGCCAGCCCTGGTGGCCTGGTTTCCCAGAGGTCCCCACCCGTCTGCCCAGGCTGGGCTGGCCCTCCTGGGCCCTGCCTCTCCACAGACCCCAGGCCGGGCTGGGATCGCAGCTAGAGTGCACGCCAAGGGCATGCGCAGGGGACTTTCCAGCTTTGGAACAAAATGTCTGAGGAGTGACAAGGGCCTTCCTTGTCCCTTCAGGGTTGGGGGAGGGGAGCTGTCGCCAAGCCCAGTCCCTGCCTCTGGGAACCTGCAAACTCACAGGGAGAAATGAGCTACGTGGCCAGGTTGGGCATGCACAGAATGACAAGGCCCCCGGCCCATGGGCCCTGAGAGGAGGACCCTGGTTGTTCCAAGGGAGGACTGGTCCCCTTGGCCAGCTCACAAAGGTCTGCCTGAAGCAGGCAGCTGGGACAGTCGGCTGCAGACAGGCGGTGGGGCAGAGAGAGCGTCCCACATGGGTGGAAAGGCAGGATCTGGGGTGGGAAGGCACAGACACTTAGGTTCCGAAAGCCGGCCTCAGTGCCACGAGGATAATGGCATCCCCATTCCCCTCTGGGCTGTGACAGGTAGATAAAAGGAGGGGCGAAGCCTGCCGCTGACTTCACCTCTGTTTAAGACTGTTCTGGAAGCTCCAGAAATAAGAGGATGGAGCTATGAGAAAGAGCACCTTTTCGTTACTTTCAAGGATGTAACTGTCTACCCAGGAAACTCCAAAGAATCAGCTGAAAGACAACTAGAGTCCCAGAGAGGCCTGAGTGGACACCAGCTGGGCAGAAATGAACCATCCGGAATCAACAGCTTCCCGAGACACTGGAGAAACACCGATCCCCATAACCAAAGCAGGATGGACTCAGGACTGAACTGGAAAAGAAACACCCACGAGATGCATAAAGTAAAGTATAAAACTCTTCTAAGAGAAGGAAAAAGAGGCTTGAGGAATAGGCCTTACTGACCGAGCGTGAGGACGGCGACTCTTGCTAGGAGGGTGGATGGAGGGCTGCCCGAGGCTCGCAGACGGCGCCCCTGTGTGAGGCTGACCGCCCAGCCTAGGCGCGGGGCTCAGGGGGTGCCCCCAGCACAGGTGGGGCTGTGCACCCTGACAGGGGTGCTGGGGAACTTGGCTGACTCCAGAAACGTGAAAGGCGGACACCAACCTACCCACTGCCCTTCTGGCCAAAATTAGTTCAAAAGTGAAGCTGCAAAACACTGAAAATAATACATAGGAACAACTTTCTTGGGGCCCCTGTCTGGCTCCGTTGGTAGAGCGTGGAACTCTTGATCTCGAGGTTGTGAGTTCGAGCCCCACAGTGGGTGGAGAAACTACTTAAAAATAAAGTCTAAAAAAAAAAAAAAAAAGAACTTTCTAAGCTTGAAAGAAATTAGAGGAATCGGCAGGTGGCAAAAAAAAAAAAAAGTGAATACCTCTTGTTACATAAAACAAACAAAATCCTCCCAGAAGCCATAAATGAGACCAAAAGGCAGAGAACTCACAAGGAAAGGGGCTTCAGTGCTGAGATGGCTCTACTTAATTTCTCCCTAGCCCTTTGGAGCTGGTTTGTTTACCTGGGCTTGGAGATAAGAGGCCCAACCTCCTTGCTCTGGAGGCCAGAGGCTTGCTCAACAGGCCCCAAATCTGGTGATGTGGGGCCGGGTGGGTGGCCCTGCTGTGGTGTGTGGCAAGTGGGCCTGGCAAAGGACAAGGCCATTGGACCCACTGCTGCCTGGGCGGGAGCATGCCCTTGGGGACACTGCTTGACCAGGAACCCAGCAAATAATCTGGCCTTTTCCCCCACATGTGTGTAAGAGGAGAGGATGTCCATGGGGTACTGTGGTCCCAGCTGTGGTCTTTCAAATGCTACTAGCAACAGGATAACCAGATTTCCGAAATCTCGCACCCAGCACCGGCCTCAAAGCTGACATTCAAGAGGTGTTTGGCGGGGAGGTGTTGCAAGAAGGCTTCGCGGCCCGTAGCGCAGAGCGGAGAGCCTTCCTGCCAGCAGAGCGGAGAGCCTTCCTGCCAGCAAAGCTCGTGAGACTAGGTTTCTGTTGCTAGGGACGCAGACAACATCTGGCAGAGGACAGCCACCAGCTCTCCAACTTGGAGCCTCACACAGAAAGGGAAGCCTTGTCTTCGCTCATCAGAAGGCCCCCAGTCTAATTAGCTGCATTATCTGGACACCACTAACTCAGGCTAGCGAGCCGCTTGCTAGAAGGAGGCAAGCAGCACGTACTTTGGAAGAGAGTATAATCCCTGCCTGGTCAGCGAGGCTGCCGGCTTCCCAAGCACGGCGTGTTGGCTAATTTCCTCCATGACTGACAATGTCGCAGAAAACCCGCGTTTTGACTCAGATATTCTCTTGGATGGAACTGAGATGGGAAAGGCAAGGTGCAAGCCGGAACTGGGACAACAGGCCCTCCCCTCGCCTCGTTCCCAGCCTCGGATGCCAACAGTGTCAGGAATACAGCACAGGTGGGAACCTGAGGCCCTGCTCCTGCCTCAATGGGCCCCGCTTGAGAGGGGCTTCCTGAGCCCCTTCTGAGCCCCTCCTCTGTGCCCGGCACTAGGATGATTAAGAGCTGCACAAAAGCAGCAGGATCTTCTAAACTTGGGCTTACTTCATCACCAGACTTCCAAAAAGCAAAGCACAGGTAGATTTTTTGGTAAATTAAACCCTAACATAAGGGCTGTCCCATAGGGGCTCTACTTTCAAAAAAAAAAAAAGAAAAAGAAAAAAAGAAATGTGTTTAAATGAGGGCATCCTTTAAATGCATTGGAGGGTGCTTTGATGAAAAAGAAACAGAATTAGCAACAGGTTTCCTATCTTACAAAATAACATGGGTTAGATCATGGTTTAGAAATACACCGGAGCACCAGACAGACCCAGGCCAAGACCAACGCACTTGGACTCCCGAAAGAGGTCCGTGTCTGGTAAGGTGGCAAGTTACAGAACAGAATGTCTAAGTTTTAATTTTTTTTTAAAGATTTTATTTATTTATTTGACAGAGAGCAAGAGATCACAAGTAGACAGAGAGGCAGGCAGAGAGACAGGGTCCTTGCTGAGCAGAGGGCCTGACACAGGGCTCGATCCCAGGACCCTGAGATCATGACCTGAGCCAAAGGCAGAGGCTTTAACCCACTGAGCCACCCAGGTGCCTTTAATTTTGTTTTTTAAAATGCATATGTGCTGGGGTGCCTGGGTGGCTCACGTGGTTAAGCGTCTGTCTTCGGCTCAGGTCGTGATCCCAGGGTCCTAGGATCGAGCTCTGTGTCTGGCTTCCTGCTTGGCAGGGAGTCTGTCTCTCCCTCTCCCTCTGACCCTCCCCTTAATTGCATACGCACACGCACTCTCCCTCTCAAATAAATAAAATCTTTAAAAAATAAATAAAAACAAAATGAATGTGTATATAAAAGCAATCTGGAAGGATTTATGTCCTGTGGGCTATCCTCAGAGGAATGGTATTTGGGGCAAAGGGGGAGGATGGAGGTAATACCAGATTCACTTTGTAATTTTGTATACTTCTCTGATATTTAAATGTGTGTCACAGGTAAGTTCTCTATTTATAATAAAAATTGGGGACGCCTGGGTGGCTCAGTGGGTTAAAGCCTCTGCCTTCGGCTCAGGTCATGATCTCGGGGTCCTGGGATCAAGCCCCGCATCAGGCTCTCTGCTCAGCGGGGAGCCTGTTTCCCCCCATCTCCCTGCCTACTTGTGATCTCTCTCTCTCTCTCTCTGTCAAATAAATAAAAAAATCTTTAAAAAATTTATGAAAAAAAAATTGAGCTAACATAAAAATAAGACCGTGTCCTACAGGGGAATTAAACGACCTCACTGTCAGATCAGGGCCTCGCCCTAGGCTGGCCACTAAACTATAGGATCCTGAAACATCCCCCCATTCTGCAGAGACTCCCTTTGTCACGTCTGGGGAAGCAGGTTGGACCAGTCCAAGCTAGGTCCCTCTTGCCATCGAGGACTGTGACTTTTTCAGCAAGGTTTCCTTGAGCTGGTTTTGGGGACCATGTTCAAGGCTTGGACCTATGCCTTCCTGCTGAACAGGGACGAGAGCTCCCTGGCCCCCAGGAAGAAACCAGCCAGGAAGTGTTCTTCCCCAGCCCACGGGAGGGAGAAAGGCACCTAAGGCTCATTATTTATGCATAAGGCCATTCCATTGAAATTCCAGCTTGAATCATCCAGAAATTCCAGCTTGAATCATCCAGGGCACCCGGGAAGGGTTTCCAGGTAAACACCAGGGGCAGACGTGTTCGGATGACTCTGCAGCCCACAGGATTCCTTCCCGGGTTCCTGCCCAGGGGGCACACTTTCCCCATCTCCACATCAACACTGACCCTTTGGCCTACCTCAATGGGCTGCGACTCGCCCAGGACGAACACGTGCAGCATATTCACATCGGGGTCCTTGTGGAAGATGTTGGGCTTGGCGTGGTGCTGGAAGTGACGATGGTTCCACCAGTTGGCGGAGGCACCCTGGGGTGGGGGTGGGGGGGGACACAGGATGAGTGGCACAGTTCCCTGGGGAACCCGTTCCCAGCACCGCCAAGACTCAGAACCGACTCCACCGTCATACACAGGGCCTCCGCCCCCCATCCCTGCCCCCCACCCAGCCTCCGAATGCCGCCCTGCCCGCCCTGAGGCTGGGGCCCGTGAAGGGAGCCAAGCCAGGCCATCCCTCCGGGCCTGTTTCCCCCCCACAGCAACGGCGGGTGAGGCCAGCTGGAGCCACAGCGCGTGGCGAGTGCCTCGGCTGGTGTGAGCCCCGCCCCCAACCCCTCTGCCTCCACACAACCCCTGAGGGCCGTGTTCTATGAACAGAAACACTTCTGTTTCAGTAACGGTAAGAAGGGGTCTCTGCTACATGGCCCAGGATTGTGCTCCTAAGTGTGTACCCAAGAGAAATGAAAACGTGGCCACACAAAATTGTACACACACGTTCCCATTGTTCAAAGTGACCAACAGGTGGAAACGGTTGGGCCGTGCCGCAGCAAGGTAGGAGGTAGGAGAAAGGTAGGAGGCACCCGCCACACTGTAGATGAGCCTTGAAAACTTCATGCTGAGGGAACGGAAGCCGGACACAAAGAACACGGACGTGACTCCATTTAGAGGAAATGTCCAGACTAGAGAATCTAGAGATAGCGAGGTCAGTGGTTGCCTAGGCCTGGGGTTGGGGACACGTGGGAGGGATGAGGGTTGGGGAGGCAGCAGCTAAGAGGGGTGAAGCTTCTTTTGGGGGTGACAAAGGTGTTCCCACATCGATTAGGACAACGGTTGCATAAATCTGTGAATATTCTATAAGCAGTTGGCAGGAGACACCCCAACATCCAGATGGGTCTTGCTGCCCTGAGCGGTGAGGACTCAGGGAGGTCCCCCCCGGAATGCCACAGGAAGGCTTAATACGCCATCGCTGGCAGGAACAGGGAAGAGCTCCGAAGTTCTAACATGAAAATATAAAACCATGATCCTAGGAGACAAGAAGCCTGCCTGGGTATTTATTTCAAGGTCATAAAGTTCTGTCTCACCAACGCAAGCTCTTGGCACACGTGGGAGGCATGCCTGTCCCCCAAGTTGCCCTGTGGCCATAGAAGGAAATGGGACCCTTCCGACTTCACTCTACTGGTGAACTACATCTTATCAATCAACGCTTAGGCCAAGGGTCTGGCCATCCACAGGGAGAACTAACTGCTAAAACAAACATCTTACTTGGAAGATACTTTTGGCCCAAACACGGTCTTTGGACTCAGAGACGCATGGACGGGCACCGCTGTGGCCTCCACCTATAAGCACGTGTGCCTTACAACCCATCAGAGCGGAAAAACAGCAACAAAGCAAAAATGTCAGTGAGCAAGGACTCAGAGGACTGAGGAACAGATGACACATTTCCAGCCAGAAGGAGCCCGACTCCTGGGAAAGGTCACATGGAAAGTCTCCAGCACAAAAAAATTGAGGGGCAAAGCGTGTTAGGAGTATGGCGATGTTTAAAATACACCGACCCAGGGATGTTCATGGAACAAATGAAAGAAGGAAAGAGAGGTAAACTGTGAACGTCCCGGCGGGTGAGTCAGCGAGGGGAGGCTGTCTGGCTCTTTCCGGACAGATCTAGTCCTCTGCTGGCTTTTTCTCCCTTCCTTCACTAGGCAGAGCCCTACTTAGTCTTCCCACCCAGAAGTCCTGCTGGGCCTGGGATAAGGAGCAGCCCTGGGAATGAAGCAGGGGTCCTGAGGCAAGCCCTTGCCTGTCGAGGCAGAGTAGGGGCCCCGGGCACACTGAGATGGGGCCGGGAAAGACTAGAGAACCCGGAGGATGGGGCCAGACAGAGTTAAGAGTGAGGGGTGTTCTCTTGACAGAGGGAAGAGGCTGGGCGAGGGCTTGGGGGCCAAGGCAGGGGTTGTGTGGACTGTTCCAGAAGCCAAAGTCCCCTTGGTGGAGCCGGAGACCCAGGATCAAGCCCAAAACTCCTGGGCTGCACCCTGTCAGAGCTCAAGGGAAAGCAGAAACATGGGTACTCCTGGCTCAAATGGTCCCAAAGACATCAGCAACGCTTTCCAACTAGACTTTACAGTTTGTCTCATTTTCAAATGAGAGACTTGCCAAGTTGGATGACTTCTCCCCACCAACTGTTAATCTTAATTTAAAAACTAAAAAAAAAAAGAAAAAAAATTTAGTGGGGGAAGGGCAGAGGGAGAGGGAGGAGAATCTTAAGCAGGCTCCATGCCCAGCGCAGAGCCCGGCATGGGGCTCGATCTCCCGACCCTGAGATCATGATCTGAGCTGAAACCAAGAGTCGGATGCCTGACTCAGCCACCTGGGCGCCCCTTAAATAATTTTTAACTAACTTAAACCAAAGTAAAATAATAATAAACTTTGTCTCAGTACAAATAATATATTTTAATGTTGGGACTTTTTATCCATCTGGCTTCCCAACTCTTAAATACTTCTCAACTACTTTCATGTTCTGAGGAAAAAGACTAACTCACCGTTAAAAAAAGAATACACACAAATGCAAATATGGGGCCACAGATTCTCCCTTCTGCCTCAGGTTCCAATATGGCCCAGCCCAGCCCTGATCTTTATTCAAAATGTTGCTATTTTGTTCTCTGTAGATTTTCTTTGGCATTAACTTTTTTTTTTTTTTTTTTTTAACACATTAGAGGGGCGCCTTGTTGGCTCAGTGGGTTAAGCCTCTGCTTTCGGCTCAGGTCATGATCTCAGGGTCCTGGGATCGAGCCCCGAGTTGGGCTCTCTGCTCAGCGGGGAGCCTGCTTCCTCCTCTCTCTCTCTCTCTCTGCCTGCCTCTCTGCCTACTTGTGATCTCTGTCTGTCAAATAAATAAATAAAATCTTTAAAATAAATAAATAAATAAATAAATAAATAAATAAATAACACATTAGAATGGTCTTCATCTTGATTACCAAGTCTTTTTGGTCTCCCCCTAAATTTTGTGCCTGGGCAAGTGCCTCACTTGCCCCACCCTAGTCCCGGCCCTTGGTGGCCCGAGCTGATGCATGGAAAGGCTGGCGGTCTCCTGGTTTCTGAATCCAGAGTGGAGTCTGGACAGTGCTGGCCTTGTGTTATGCATTTTATCTGGCGTGCAATGCCAAACAATGAAAGAGGTGTGATGGCTCAGAACTCTTTAACAGGGTCATCCTCTGGAAGAAATGTCCGCCGGAAGAGACCAGAAGTCGGGATGGGGAGAGCCCATGCTGGAATCCCGCAGTGGCTCAGGCTGCGGGTAGGAAGCAGGTCCCCGCCCCTCAAGGCGCCCGGCACACCGTTCTCTGCTCCCTACCAGCTTGTGCTAAACTACTCAAGGGAGCAGGGCCTCGGGATCTCCCTGAAGCCGGCCCCCTTTCTTCCCAACAAAGGGAACCAGGAGAGCAGACGGATCTATAAGACTTGTTCACAGCCGTGTGACTGTGGGGTGCCGGAGTGGTTTCCACCGGCTGTGAGCCTCCTGGCTCTGGGGCACCCCGGGCTGAGCTACATGGCTGGGCCCCCGGCTTACACACAGCAAGGACAACATAGCCAAGTGGAGGACCAGCCAGCCGTGAGTGCAGAACCTCTGAGCCCAAGTACCCTGTCCTCCCCCAACTCCAGAGCTCTGACATCATGAGCCCACATTCTCCAGGGAGGCCAGTCCTCTGTCCTGGCCTCATCCTCCATCCAACATGAGAGCTGGGCCCTGCAAAAACTGAGGGACGTCAGGCGGGAAAGGCCCTCTCAGCTGCCATCCAGAATCTGGAAACTAGACACAGCCCATCTTTGTTAAGCGGGTGGGGATACCGTGGGTTGGGTCGGGAGTGAAATGTTACTTTCCAACACTGAGGAGGGTTTCATCCAGCGGAGAAGAGGATGAAATGAAACAAAGCCTTCCACTGTGCACGCCCTCTGCCTTCACCCCTGTATTTCTGGAAAGAAACCAGGTTCTCAGGACGCCGCAGGCTCAGGGCCAGGCAAGCTGCAGGCGACTGGTTATTAGCTCAGCTGGAGTTTGCCCCCCTCCAGATCCACAGCCGGCCGGTCACGGGCTCCCCGTGATCTGGGTCATGGGGCAGGTTGGGGGGGGACCCGCTTAACCCAGACAGGTAGCTCTTTCCAAGCCGGGGTAAGGCGGGATGGGATTCTTTAGGACACAGCCTTTCTTAGGACAGCAGCTGGGTGCTGCTGGGAGAGGGCCGAGTTGGGGAACGAGATGTTTCAGAATGAGCTGGCAAGGACTTATTTCCAAAATCAAGGAGATGGGCCAATCGGGTGAGCACAAGGTCACTGGCAAGGCCAACCTGTCTTCTTACGGACTTGCCTCACTGTAAGGCGTTGTGGGGTGACCTCCTCATTGGCAGGGGCTGGGGAGGGGGTGTGAGAGGAACTACTTCCCCATGAGCTTAAACAACTCTGGTCCTGTGGCTCAGCGGATCGTTGTCTCTTATCTAGAGACTTCCCTGACAGCATCTCCCTTTCAGGCTAATAGGGATTTTTTAGATAAGTTTTTAGATAAAGAGCAAACACTATAAATAACATAATCAACGGAGTCAACCCACAAGAGCGGCACAGGCCAGTCCTCATAACCAGTACCCTGCTTCTCCGCCTAATAGGATCGGAGCCGGGCCGGGAAGGGCGGGGGTGGGGAGGGCTCGCAGAGTCCCAGAGCCCAGCGCAGCCCGGCACAAAGGCCTGGCTCCTGGTCATGCCGCGGTACTCTGCGGCCACAGACGCTGACCCGAGAGGACACCTGGTCACGGGCAGAGTGAGCTGAGGCCGTGCCAGCCGCTAACTGATGGGCAGACGCCCAGGGGTGCTGGCATTTACCTTTAAGTGGCCGATGATGAACTTGTGGACGACGTGGTTCCAGGAGGACTTCTTGTAAACAGACAGGTGGCCGTAATCGTGTTGCAGCCATCCAGCTTGGGCCTGCAGAGAGAGGTGCTTTCAGGATAGCAGCTTTCCCACGTCCCCGGCCTCTGCGAGCGGGTGGGGGCTGTGGGGGGACCTCACCGGTCCCTCACCGGACGCCACACCTCACCTGAGAGGTAGCGAGGACAAAGGCCGTGATGACGGTTGGAATCCAGCCATTGCCAAAGTAAAAGATGATGAACCAGGCAATGCTCTCCATGACGATGATGTGGGCCAGCAGGACGAGGAAGAACAGGTGATTGCTCTTGAACAGGTTCATGTCCTCGGCCGCCTTCCTCAGGGCCCGGAAGTCCTCGGTGATCTGGGACTGGGGAACAGGAGCACAGGGGAGGTGTCAGCCACCCGGCTGCGCTGGAGGGGACCAACGTCTTCTTGCTGGGGGGAAATGGTGGCCAAGAGGGCCCCCCCACCCCACCCACAGGCCTGTGACCCGAGGAAGCCTGGCCATGGTACACCACGCCCGAGCCGTCCGCCTGGGCCTCCCCAGCCCCGCACATCACGTGTTTGGTCTCAGCCAGGTCGGTGGCAGAGAAAGGCTCCGACTCGAAAGCTAGTATTTTGCACACCATGTTCACAGCGGCATTACTCCTACGGCACACGGCACGAGCAAACCACATACGCATCAGAGGACACCTGGCCAGTCTGGACGTGGTCTCTCCGCACGACCGAGTCCGATTCGGCCTCTGAGAGGCAGGAGAGCCCGATGGCCACTGCCGCAGGGATGGACCTCACAGACCTCGAGCTCCGTGATATGAAGCCGGACATAACGGGACAAATACTGTATGATTCCCCACCGCGGAGCCACTGGGAGCAGGCAAGTGCCAGACAGAAAGTGGAGCAACGGTTTCCGGGGCTGCAGGGCACGGGGCAGATGTCTAACGGGGAGTTAATATTTCACGAGGACAGTTATAATTTGGGGTGATGAGTAAGTCCTGGAAGTGGATGGTGGTAAAAGTTTGCAGAACAATGTGCTGTGTCCCCAAGCCACTGAACTGTGAGTCTAAAACGGGCTAAAATGGTAAAATTTGTGCTCTGGGTATGTATGTATTAACACACACACATACACACAAGCTCGCACTTTTGCACCACCCGACTCTGCCCCTACTTGCTCTGGCACTCTGTGGAGTCTCAGGGGTCGTGGTGGGGGGACCCACCATAGGACAACATCCCTGCCCCTACAGAGCTCAGGGAGGCAGGACAGCTCGGTGGGTCCTGGGGATGGGGGGAGTCAGGGGCGACTCCAGAGACACGAGCATGGCTGGGAGAAAAGAAGCGGCTGGGAGGCAGGGGTCGGGCAGGTGGGGGGAAGAGGTGCTTTGAAAGGGGTGGGGTGCCGTATGGGTGGAGGGAGCCAGGTTTGGGAGGCTGGGTAGTAAGTGGCAAAGGATCAGAAGAGTGGCTGACACCCATTTAAGTAGGGAAAGTGGGGAAAGCAGGTAGGGCCAGAGAAGCAAGGTCGGGAAGGAGGGAGCCCACAGGACCCAGAAGAGAGGAGAGAAGCTGCCTGCCTGCAGGGGAGCTGGGGAGGATGGAGGACGGAGCCAAGGGTGGAAGGAGCAGGATGGAACCCCAGGTCAGCTCCAGGGAGGGGTGAAGACAACCTCCCTCCGCAGCCGTGGGGAGAAAGGGGAGGGCCAGGGGCAGGGAGAGCTGGGGGAGGGGAGGCTGGCCTCTGGCACACAGAATGGGCTCTATTTTCCAGGGAAGGAGAGAGAAAACAGCTGGAGGACTGGACCAGAACTGAAGACCCTGGGCCCAGACTAACTACTGAGACCCGGGAGGTGAGGAGGCTGGGAACAAATTACCCCAAGCGAGGGGCCAGCCCAGGCTGGCTGGCGGCAAGGGAAGGGGCTCACCAAGGAGTCTCCGAGTCCTGCCTGACCCCAGGTATTGGGTGGGGGCTCCCGTGGCCCACACCTGGCACTCTCTGTCTTTAGGCAGGCACCCCCTCTCCCCGCAAGCCCTCTCCTCCTTGCTTGGTCTGGGCACACTCACGTTCTTGCCATGGTCCTGGCTGGGCTCCTCCGGGGCCAGCTCTCCAATCAGCAGAGGCTTCATGAACTTGCGCACAAAGTCAAGGTCACGGTGGAAGGCAAGGAAGGCGTCCTGGGGAGGCGGAGAGCAGGCGGTGAGTGGGAGACCTCAGACCCGGGGAGGGCAGGGCTAACCAGCAGCAGTTCTCCGTGTCCCCACTTGGACCCTGATCAAGGCCTTCCAGGACCTAGCCCCAGATGCTCTCTCTTGCCTCATTTCGGCAGATCCCTCAGTGCCTTGTCTCCACCTTGAGCACACCGAAGGGGTGTGTGCAGACTTTCAGGACACCTCCAAGGGAGTCAGAAAAACGCCCCCCTGCAGGGAGATGCACGGGCTGGGCCCCAACTGTTGCTTTAAAAATTTAAAAAAAAAAAATAGGGGTGCCTGGGTGGCTCAGTCTGTTAAAAGTCTGCCTTTGGCTCAGGTCATTATCCTGGGGTCCTGAGATCAAGCCCCGCGTCAGGGCTCCCCACGCAGCAGGGAGTCTGCTTCTCCCTCTGCCCCACCCCCGCTCATGCTCAATCTCATTCTCTTGCTCTCTCTCTCAAATAAATAAAATCTTTAAAACATCTTTTAAATGTGGTATAATAGTATTATTATTATAACTCCAATGATAAAGATATAACATGCATGATTTGGGCAACTTTAGAGAATGTACACAAGAACAAAGAGGAAAACAGATACCACTCAGAGAGCAAGTAACGCTGGCTAATATTTTAGCTGGTTTCCTTCTGGGTTTTTTTCTATTTGCGTTACTAAAATCGTTATATTATATTCTATATTAAATCTATATTATTACATAAGTCATCTCCTTAACAAACATGGCATTTTCATTGGGGATGAGCTGGCATCATGGGTTACCGTATGATGTCCTAGTGGCAAACACTTACCCTGCAGTGAGCCAAATGTTGACACACTGAGAGATAGAGAACAAAGTCAAATGATACCATGAGAAACCAAGAGAAACATCAACATCGTGGGGGAAGAAGTGTGTTTGTGTTTGTGTGCGTGTGTGTGTGTGCGTGTGTCTGTGTATTGGGAGGAGGTATTTAGCTTTTAAAAAACTGAAAAAGATAAAACAAAAAGATTATAAGAAATGCAATGCTTGGGACGCCTGGGTCGCTCAGTGGGTTAAGCCTCTGCCTTTGGCTCAGGTCATGATCTCAGGGTCCTGGAATCGAGTTCCGCATTGGGCTCCCTGCTCAGTGGAGAGCCTGCTTCCCCCTCTCTCTCTGCCTGCCTCTCTGCCTACTTGTGATCTCTGTCTGTCAAATAAATAAATAAAATCTTAAAAAAAAAAAAAAAGAAATGTAATGCTTGATTTGAAAGGCTCCTATTTGGAGGGGAAAAAAATAAAGACCCAGCTGTTCCACAAGACATTTTGGGAGTTGAATCAGAAAATTTGAATACGGACCAGGTATCTGGTCATAGGAAGGACTTACTGTTCATTTTCTTCATCACAACAAAGGTATTGTGATGATGTTAAGAGAATGTCCCCACTCTTAGGAACAGGTAGTGAAGAACTTAGGGACGAGATGGCATAACTGAGACAACTTATTTTCACGGGATTCGGCAAAAGAAAATCACATACAAAAAATATATATATACAAAGAAGGGGGATGCAAATATGGCAAGATGTTGAGATTAGTGCATCTTGGATGAAGAAATGCAGGTGTTTCCTTACTCTTTCAACAGTTCTGCATGTTTGGAAATCTTCAAATTTTTTTAAAATGAGGGATGAACCAGGGAAGTACCCACAACTCGTAAGCATGTTTAAACTCCCCACTAAAGTATCTCCTGACCGTGATCGCCAGGCCTCTCCCAATTCCTTACTGCATGCCCGGCATCGAGTCTTTTTACCTGTCTTTATTCTACTTGTGTCTAAAACAGACCAACAAAACAATTTGTACAGTTTTAAAAACATGTCCGTGCCCCCCTACCTGAACAGAAAGGGAGGGAGGCAAAGGATCAGATCAAGTATATTTTCAGAGAAGAGACGTGAGGCCCTTCCAGGGCCCCGGGCAGGCAATGGCTGGCGCAAACCAGCTCTGCCCTCTGGGCCAGCTGTCCCCACTCCGGCCTCAGCGACCTCTGCGAAGTGAGGCCCTTCCCAGCCCCACTGAGCCCAGAGGCCCCGGGGAAAGGCCCTCCAGCAGTATCCAAGGCAGGGCCTGGTGTCAGCGGTGCACAGGTGAGCCGGACTGCCTTCCAGAGGCAGAGCCTACAGAAGCTCCTTCATTGGTCCTCCCCCGATCAGACCACCGCTTTCCAGAAACGACGGGAAGCCTTTGGTAAGGCAGTTTCCTGAGAGCCAACTGCTGTGTCTGATAACTAAACCACCACTCTCTACTCCTCACTGGGAGGTAAAATTCAAGTCTGCAAGCGACTCATTTCTCAGCCAGCACCCACTGCCCACCCCAGCCCCCGCCACCCCACCCCCAGGTCCAGGTCATGCCCTCAAGCCCCCGCCTGGACTGGGGAGCTAGGTGGAGCCGACGGACAGATGGACAGACAGACTCCCGTCCCAGCCCACACCATTCCTTGGCCATTTCTGGAAGGCTCTCAGGTGGCCTCTCACCTCCCCACGTGACAGGGATCGAGTCAGGAGCCTCGTTTACGTTCCAGAAGGCCCAGGACCAGCGGTGTGGATGAAGACCCCGGAGGGCAAGCAGGGAACGTTCTCTGCTCCAAGTGCAGAGCCGGGATCAAATCCAAAGTTCACCTGACTCCAGGGCTGTGGCACCACACGCCTCCTCCAGCTGAGGAAGCCAAGCACTGAGAGTGCGTCTGCCTGTCCTTGGTAGGTCTCATGGCGTTCTGAGCAGGCCAGGTGAAGACCACCTGTGCACCCACCAAGCTCGTGCTCATGCCAGGGCCTTTGCACGGCACTTCCTCCCTCCTGGGAGCCCTGCTCCCATAGTGCCCGTGGCTGGCTTTTTCCAACCACCCTCCAGCCCCACGCTCTCTCTTGGACATTGCCCGGTTTTGCCTTTTTCCTAACAGTTACCAATTCACAAGCTGTATGACTTACTTCCGTATATGTCATTCTCCCCACTCTAGACTTTGATGAGCTCCACAAGGAAAGGGCCATGGCTGTCTCACTCACTGCAAGTTCCGGGCCTACAAGGAAGCCTAAGGAGTGCTCGCAGGTGAACGTGAGGGTCCGGTTTGCTCCCTCTAGCCCCAGGAAACACCCACTCTGCAATCATGTTCATACCCTCGTTGCGCTCTTTTGTGCAACCTGGCTTACGCTCCTGAGACCACAGAACTCTTCAACCTCTCCAGCCCCCACTGTGGTGGTGGCAGAGTTGCCACATCCCGAGACACGTAGGGCTTGCCACCGAGCCACGGGCTTTGGGTGCATAAGCCACTAATCCTTACCGAACTCCAAGGCAGGTCCTATTCTAGAGACAGAAAGAGACGGAGGGAGGCGAAGCTACCAGTCCACCATCTCACTGCAGGTGTGTCTACTTCTAGAGTTTTCCAATGCCGATACACACGTCTCAATCAAAACAAGCTTCCTCTCTGCTGAGAGTTGAACACTTTTGGCATCTCCCCATTCAAAATGTCACGAAAGAACCTCCCACTACTACAGAAGGTTCCCAGGAACTGCTGGGTTGGAGAAGTGTCTGGATGGATCAGGAGGTCACCATGCAAAGTAAGATGGGGCCAATCCAAATGTTGACTTTGGAGCAAGAATTGCACCAGCATCTGTCCTCACTTGAGAGGAAGAGAGGCCAAAGGCTTTCTGGAAGCCCTGGGCCAAGGGTGAAGAGAAAGGAGCAGCACCGGCTTGAGAGAGAGCAGACTGGAACTGTCCTCAGGCGGGCAGGTGCATGTGCTGCAGGTGCAGAGGGCAAGCTGCGGGAGGAACGGCCGAAGATTCCAGAATGGAAGATACCGTGTGCCGCACTTCCTGCTTCCACACCCCCCCAGCGCCAACGCCAGCCTACTTCTGCCTGAAGGACCCCCTTCCACAGACCCAGCCCCACTGGCGTAGAGCAGAGACCAGCTGAGACCGCGGGACCCCGGGAACATGGGAGGAGCACCCCGAGGGCTCTCCGGGCTGCAGGGAACGGTTCTGGGAACCGGGACTCTGCAGAGGGAGAAGCTGAAGAAGTTCCCTGAGTTCTCAGCTAGAGACAGAGTCCCCGATGTCCTCTCCACAGCTGAGCTGCTGGACTGTGCTCCCTCCCGGGGAAAGAAGCAACAGAGGCTGCGGGCAGAGCGTCGCAGCTGATGTCTGGCACCTGCGAGGCCCCGGGGACGGGAAGGGCCTGACTGCACAGAACGGAAGCACCTGCGTGGGTCCCACAGAGACTGAAGGGACCCTCACAAGGTGATATGTAGTGGGAGGGGGGTGAGCAGGTGCTCTCCTGAGGCTGTAGCCCAGGAGAATGGGACTGCCTGCCCTAATCCTGCTCAGAAGGTACAGCTGTCCTCCAGGCACAAACAGAGGCACAGTCCATGCCTTTTCCTTTGGCGAAAATGGGGTCACTCAACTTGTCTTCACACTCTTGTCTCTGGTTTCCTGAACTCCCGAGCCTGTGTGCCAGGAACATGCACGTACACGCACAGGAGGCTAAGGCACCCCCCGTTAAGATCCCTCACACCCGTGTCCTAAAGTTGGAGACAGCCCCCTGGAGCCTGGTGGTAACGTCCCATTTCACAGACCTGTGAAAGCGAAGTTCACAGGCAATACCTTGCCTATGAATTCGTAAAGCTGGGATAAAAACCCAAGTCCTCTGCCTCCAAACACCACAACCCCCTCCCCCGACCCTGTCTAAAGGAGGTCAGAGATTCGTTCTGTTTTCAATCGGTCGCCTTTTCCTAAGATCAACATGGGAGCAGGTCCGCAGGCGGACAGAACCCTGACCTCTTCTCGCCTTCCCTGGGTTCCAAGAGGCTACTGACGCAGACGGGGCAGGAAAAGCTGGAGAATAGACCTAGACGGAGAGGGTCCAGCGTCAAGCCCCAGCGTGAAAGGAAGGAGGGAAGCAAACCCACCAGATGCAGTCATGGTCTGAATTGTTCAATTTAACGCCCAGGGCCAGGCTCAGAGACGTGGAGACACTAAACAAATGTGTCATGAATCGTAGCTGAAGATTAAAAGCCCCAAGTGGGGAAAGTTCTGCATCTGCCTCGAGAAGCAGACATCCTTGGGACTCAGAGGATTCCCTCTGCCAATGGGGAGAGCAGAGGAGTGCCAGAGGGCAGGAGAGGTGGAAATGGAAGGGAGGGAGGGAGGGAGGGAGGGAGGGAGGGAGGTAGGTTGAGAGGGAGACAGGGGAAAGGGAAGGTGAGCCTGGAGGGCTTGGTAATGGTAAATCCCGAGCTTAGGGCTGAGCACAGCCACTGGAGCAAGTTTTTCAAACTTGAGCAAGGTTTTTAAACCTAAGAGCAAGGAGAGATACCTGCAGGTCTGATCGAGGGCGGACTGCACTAACGGGCATGAATGTGTTTTGTGAATTGCAAAAATTAAGCACCTGTATTCTTACAGGGAAGGCCAAGTTCTTACTTCTGCAGAAGCACCAAATGACAACTGCCCTTGGCTAGGTCACCCTTTTGGGAAGAGGTGGTCTTGACTTTCGAGGCCTTTATCTCAGAATCAAGAAAACCCCTTACTGGGGTCCTGAATTGTCCTGAGAATGGCTTCCTTGACTTCCGGCCTCTTAGGAGGCTGTTACTGCACTGCGATCGGCTGAAAACAGTGCACTGTGGGCTCCCGGGGATCCGAACTCTTATCTGCTGACCCATCCCTCCCCGACTTGCATGGCCTGAATACTCTGTCCCCAAGCTTTAGTCCGTGCTCAGAGGGGAAAAGCCACGTGCCCCACGGCCTGTGACAAGGGTCTCCTGATTCCTCGCCTATCCCTGCCTCTTGGAGCCCTCTTCCCATACAACCTTGTGCTGCCCATGGCCTTTCCCTGCCCTGGTCCCAGACAGCAAAGAGAGGAGACTCTAGTTGCCCACTCCATGTTAGAGCACCGTATCCCCAGTTAGCCCATGCGAGGCCCTAAAAGCCTCATCTTAGAAAGTGGTGAGCTTTGGGGATAAGGGCTGTGCAATGCGTCGCCAGAACACATAAAATCGGCATAAATCTCGACTTTTTTCCACCCAATTCCTTGCTGCTCACTTTACATAATCCTCACCTTCTTCCCTCACTTGCCAGTCGGACGAGGGACAAGAAGCAATGTTTCTAGTGCTTACTCGCGGCTTAGGAAGCACTCTGCCACACAGTACATATGTTCTCCACATCAGAGAATGTATTTCACAGTGGGAAGACCTCGACCAGGAGGCAGGTCTCTTATTTGAGAATAGCCCTTACCCAGCTTCCACAAACTGCCGCGGGAAGGGCCACGTGACATAACACAGATGGTCTGAAAACCGTATGCCTGATAAGTTGTGGTGGACGGTCAAGCCCCCAAGGCTGAGACAGTGTTCCCAAGCAAGCAGGTAAAACCAGATGAGCCCAGAAGCTGTAGGCACCATCTCATGATGACCACTTTCTCAAGCTTGCACATGGCTGGACCCCGCTCACCAAAGCTGTAAGCCATTCCCAGCCAAGACTGTAACTGCCTGGTCTGGCCTGCGTGGGTAGGCCTGTCCCAAGAAGACTTCAAGAGGTAGGGAGATCCAAAGTTCCACGGTAGGAGAGGGGCCCATACAGCTAGGACAGCGAAAGCCCCCTCCTGGTCAGCACACTAGGCGTCCTGTGCCTGTCTCTCCCATGGCCTTTCCCCTACTCACCCCTCCCCAGGGGCCTCCAACTTGCTGCCTCCAAGAGGCCCCTTTCTTCCCTCCTGGACTCCCTTGGGTTCCCTCTCTCCAGTTCCCATCCTCTGTGCTCCAGAAGCATCTTCAAGAGATGCCAGGATTGCGGACTTGGGGATCAGGAGGGGCCGAAGGGGCCTTCTGGTGTGGGTACCATGGGCCGCTCTGCACCCAGTACCTTCAGGAGTGCAGATGAGGGAAGGGCATTCCTGGCAGGATTTAGAAACAGAGGACCATTGAGTAGTTGCAAGGTCCGAGAGTAACCCCGGCCAGGCGGGACCTGTTGCCAAGCCAGCCTAGTGCTGCTAAAAGCACGCCGCTGCCCCCCGCCCTCGCGGGCTTTGCAAACCCTCCTTCCAATTCCCCACCCCGGAGCCCAAGAACCAACCCTTGGGGTGGGTGCTGGTAGTCCCTTTGAGCATGAGAACAGAAGCTCCCGGGCGGTCTGTGCGCGGCAGCCATTGCAGACCTTCTCAGGGCCGCAGCGACAGCCTCTACCTTCCCCGCCCCCTACTCTGGCTGGAGAGTGAGGGACGCGCGCGGAGTCCCACACCTGGCCCGTCTCCCGCTCCGGTCCCCGGCGCCCAGGAGCGGCCATCTTCCACGCTGGGGCTGCCAGACTCCTGGGGCCCAAAGCGCCCCCTTTGGGGAGTACCCGGCTCTGTGTGAACCCGGAGGAAGGATGGGAGGTGTGTTTCCTCAGCGCGCGCGGCAGACCCTGCTCGCCACTGCTTGGATCTCCGCCGCGCTCCTGCCTCCGGGGCTCCAAAATCCGATCCCGCTAGCCAGGTGGCCCCCGCTGTCCTAAAGGATGGGGATTTGGGGCGGGGGACGAGCGCAGGAGACACGCTTTCCTTGCCTCCTGGACGCCCCACGCTCCATTCGGCGTTGGAGGTCTGGTTTGGAGCCCCGGGATCCGTGGCTTCTGACTCCGGCCTGCGGCACAGAAAGGTGGCAGCAGAGCCCCCACACCCTTACCGTAGCATCTTCCCCCGCGTAGTGCCCGATGACCCGCTGGCCCCCTGGGTGCCGGCTGGACCATTTGGTGATGTTGTAGACCTTGCGGTCGATGACGAGCCACTTGTCCGTGCGCAGGTTATGCTTCTGAATCTCCTCCCAGCTGAAGGTGGGCATGGGCGCCTCGCGCTCTGTGGCCCCCTCGCCCTGGTTCCCCCCTTTCCCCATGCTGCCTGCTGACCGGGATGCCGCGTGCACTGTGGCCTCCACGCCCGCAGCTCGAGTGTGCGGCCCGGGCCCTCCTTGCTTTCGGCTTTTGTCTTCTCCTACTCCCCCTCCCGCGGCGCCCCCTCCCCCAGCCTCCTCGCCCGAGCTAGGCAGTCTCCCCTGCCTTCCCTCCGACTCTCCCCGGCTTCCCAGTGCCCCCAAGCGGTCCCTTTCCTCTGCCCCTCCCTCCCCCCTTCCTCCTCCCACCAGCCCGCCGTGGACTTTTCCCTCCTGAAAAAACTCCAGGGTCGCTCAGGACCTGGACGCCTCCTCTGCCGGCCCCTCCGGCTCCGCCCGCCCACGGCTCCGCATCCTCCCGCGTTCCCCGCCGCCCGGGTTTCCACAGTGATCAGCAGAGCGCCTGCACCAATCCGGGCGCGTCGCCCCGCCTGCCATTGGCCCAGGAGGATCTTTCGAAGGCCAGCGGGCTGGAGCGGCGGTCCCCGGCTCCCCCGCCCGCGCGCCCGCTTAGAGTCTAGCCCAGCCGCGAGGCAGCTACGTGTCCGACCTCTTCCCCACCCCCCCCCCCCCCCCCCCCCGCCCCCCCCCCCCCCGCGCCTCCACCAGGCTCAGCTCGAGCCCCGGCGCGCAGTAGGGGATCCCAGAGAAGCGGGGGCGGATGCTGGGCGCCGCGCACTCCGGGGCATGCACCTGACAGGGGCACGTTCCCGGGCCGCCCGGGTGACGCCCTTCCCCGGCCCGCCGGAATCGGGACGCGGGACTCTCCGCATTGTCCGGGCTCTGCCCATTGGCGCCGTCCTGCAGCCTCCCTGGACAAACGAGACGGCCTCGGACTCGTCCAGGGCTCTGAACCCTGTAATCAGGCGCTCTCCGAAGAAAGAATTGCAGGACCTCGGCTCGGCTTCTTTGTGCTAGGCGCCATGGTGGTGGGGGGAGAGGGGAGGGGGCGCGGCGACGGGCGGGACACAGTCCTTGCCCTGAACACAGGCTAGTTGGGCGACCGGACAGGGAAGCCATACAGGACCGACCCCACACGACTCAGTGGACAGTAGTACCCGATAGACTCCAGGAAATAAAGATGGAGGCATCGAATGGCTAGGTTGGAGAGGCAGGCCCCCAGACTCCAGCTGGACGGAGCTGGCTGGAGGGTCGGTGCCCCGATCCCTGATCCTGAAGGTGGACTGAGGCTAAGTGGAATTTAAGGATGAACAGAGGGAGGTGGGGGGTGAGGACAGCCTTGGGAATCAGGAGTTCATAAGCGGTCCTCCTATTTCAGTGGGATGATTTCTAGGTCCCCGAGTGCCGGTACACCCCCCTCATTAGCTTCTCAGCCCAACCCTGTGAGGTGAACGTGTAGCAGGGCTAACTCCATCTTGAATTGATTTTGCCCTGAACACTTCTCCCTCCCTTGTTACTCCACAGTCCACCTGTTTGAGGGCTGTAAGCCCTGTTGCAGGAAGGAGCTGACCTTTAGGTTTTAACGGGAACACCGAATTAAGACAGAACGCATTGCATGAAGTACATTAATCAGCATGTTCTCACATGTTACTCCCTAAGCCCATGATAAGTTTAGGGTAATCAATTCTGCTTAGAGTTCCTTCGGGAACTTAAAGAACCTGGCCCAGGTTTATTGAAGACACCTGATTGATTGTTCAAACCTTGGTGGCACCTTAGCCACTTTCTTTTTCCTGTTTCCCTCCCCCTCTAAAGACCCCTCATGGCACCAAGATGGGAAGATGGTTTTTCAGGACATCAGTCTACCCTCTTCTCGGTTAGCTGGCTTTCTCGGATACAGTTGCCTTTGCTGCCCTAACATCTTGTCTCTCACTGGCTTCTTGTGGGGCGAGCAGAGCAGGCCTGTGTTCGAGGACAAACAGGACCCACGTTGTTCTATTGAACTATAACCTGGAGAGACTGAGGTTGAAGAAAGACGAATGAGGCAGGTGCTTGTGGCTAGCCACTCGCACAGCCGGGAACCTTCCAGACATCACCCTGCCTCTCTCCTAATGAGGTCAGTGGAAAGGAGCCATTGTAGGAAACTTTGCTGGGCAGCAACCTGAAGCAGGGCTGGTAGGAAGATCACTCTAGCCATCTGGTGGGGACGGGGGCAGGGGGTGGGACAGTGGAGGCCACACGGGGTCCCTTTCGTGCCATTGTCACGGTAGTCAGCCTCCTCTGTGTCAGGCTGGTAGCAGTCCTAAGTGTACTTCGTCCATGTCATGAACTCCAACAGGAAGAGAACGAGGCCGCTCTGGCTTTAAAGAGAAGCAGTAGACATCCGAGCCAGAAAGCTGGGCTCACGGGGTAAGAGAGGATGAAACAAGGCCCCCCGGGGGTGAGCACTGACTTTTATGTCTGTTAAAGGTATACTGAAACAGTAAGCAAGACTGATTTTTTTTTTTCCCCAAAAGTGGGATTGTCACAAATATATAGATAACGTTAGTGGAAAAAATGTAAAAGGTCAGGGAACTCGGGGGTGATAATCCAAACGGGAGAAATGGGGACTCTCTCATGGAAGAGACTTGCGGGCTAGGAGCAGGCCATGAGAAGGTGCCAAGCTCTAAAAGGCAGTGAGTCCAGCTGAGGCTGGACACAAACTGGGGACCAGCCAGAGTGTGGCGTACCCAGCAGATCCTATCATAACACCTCCCAGAGTAGGGGCAGAAAGGCATTTGCCGAAGACATGAATGAGTGTGTGAATGATTGAGTGGATGGATGGATGGATGGAGGAAGAACAGAGGGGAATGGGGTCAGCCACAATTCTCAGAAGACCTGCCACAAGCTGGGTTCAAATTGGGAAAAGGCTTGCATGCTTTGCCAAGGACGGAGAACTTTATCGTGGGGGAGGCGGGGAGATTCACTAAGCAGAAATGTTGGCTATGCCCAGATCCAGAAGAGACCTCGGGAGGCAAGCTCAGGCTGGGATAGGGTGTGGGAGGCCAGGGTGGGGGAACCCTGTGGCAGTCCAGAAGAGACTGGAGGAGCACCTGAAACCAGAGGGAGCCCATGGCAAGCGGACGCCGCCTCGCCCTCATCTGCCCTTCTCTTGCTCTATTATTTATTGCTGTCACTACCTGGAGGAGCCAATGAGACTGTTCCCCTAGAGAAAACCTCCCGGTACCTGGCTGATCCCGGAGCCACTTAGGAAAAGGGATGATCTCAGAGAGGGTTGAGGTTCCCATGGTTTTCCCCTGCCCCAAAGAGTCCCTCCTCCCCAGGACAGCAGCTTCCTAGGGATTCTGCCAGGACCTCACTGTGATCGTTGTTATTTATCAGGAACAAAAGAGAAGAGCCAGGGTGGCTGGGTGCCCAGGTCCTCCCTGCCAGCCAAGTGGGTGAAAGGCTGGGCAGAGTGAGGGGGTGGTGCCTTAGAAGAAAGGGCCTGAGGGCAAAGCCCATGCAGCCAGTTGCCGCCAGTCCCCACAGAACGACTGGGAGGCGGTGGGGGCTGCTTTTGGTCTGTGCTCACCAGGGCTCTCTGCTGGTGGTAGGGCGGGGTCACGGGAGTGAAGAGACTGGTTAATCAGAGGGAGAGTAAATATTGAAAATGACTGCAGTGTGGAGGGGCAGACACGTTGGGGTGGGGGGTGGTGAGGAGAGGGAACAGGGTTCTGACACAGAGCCCCCCAGAGGCAGAGGGCCAGTGGCCAAAGCATACGCTCCTTCTGACCCCTTCCAGCTCTTCCTTTCCCTGGTTGAGAAAGACGGCCAAGGCACCACTCATCTTTTTTTTTTTTAATATATTTTTAAAAGATTTTATTTATTTATTTATTTATTTGAGAGAGAGAGAGAGAGAGAGAGAACAAGTAAGCAGAGTGGCAGGCAGAGGGAGAGGGAGAAGCAGACTCCCTGCTGAGCAAGTAGGACAATGGTGAGACTCAATCCCAGAACCCTGGGATCACGACCTGAGCCAAAGGCAAACACTTAACCTACTGGGCCACCCAGGCGCCCAAGCCGTGGTTCTTATTTTTCATAGTCCACACGTTTTCAGGTTTTGTGAATGAATACTCAACCCTCTCTGTGTCTCCTTCCTGCCTCCCATTCATTCCTGTGATCATTATAATCTTCAGTTTTCAGAGTGGTGGTAACGATCTCTCCTGTCGGCCTGTCACGTTAGGGTGTCCGAAGGACTCTCATACGGTGGACAACGGCACTTGGCACGATCCCCAGAACAAAGGAGCCATTCAAAGGAGTTCTGAGCTTTCTTCTTCTGGATCTCATTCCTCACAGCAAGGTCGAAAGTGGGTATTTTTATTCCATCTTTGCAGATGTGAACACGGACACTGGCCCCCTCAACCAGCAGATAGCAGACTGAGTCTAGATCCTTCTCCCATCAAACCTTCTAGAACCCTCTCTGAAAGGTCTCCAGCAAGTCCAATCACATTTTCTCAGACCTCACAGAGACTTCTGGCAAGCTGACATCCTTTCCTCTTGCCATGCCAGCCACTCTGGGTTCTTTGGCAACGCACACCCAATTCTACCATTGGACCACACCCTTTTTTGTCTCCATTTTCTCATCTTCCTTCTCCTCCTCCCCTCTAAATGTTCTTGGCCCTTGGCTCACCGAATATTTTCTCCTTCGGGGGCCCCATTTGGGATGTGACCACATCGGGGATGACTCCTGTTCTCAAATCTACATCCACTGACTTCCTACACAGGCAAATCTGAATGTCCCACTGGCACCACAGACTCAACATAAACTGCCCAAGAATTAATGTCTCAGCAGATATGTCCTTTGGACCTAGTCAGGTCTCACCTTCACTGTTTTTGATGCAAACGTGAATTGTCATCTTCCCTTCCGAACGTCAGCCCTTCCTTTTAATTTCTATTAATTCCTCTTCTATTAATAGAAATTTATATAAGCAGAATTTTATATTCATAGAAATTTTAAGTTCTATTAATTCTTATTAATTTCTCTTAATTTCTATCAATTAATTTTAATTTCCATTAATCAATCATTTCTATTAATGACACCACTTTGCTTCCTGTCACTTGGGCTC